GATAAATATACCCCACCAGCTACATAGTGCCCGACGAGGGAGTTGGGTAGGTAGTGAAGAAAAACATTGACTGAAGCCTGGCAGAGGACTGAATTGTTGTCAACAGCAACAAACATACTGGGAAAGTCAAAGACAGTGAAAAAACAAAAACAAAAAAAAAAACACAGGCATATAAATACTAACTTTCTAGGATCTTTATTGACTCCAAGTAATTCAGAGTAGAACGAGATGAATCAACGCTATACTCCGCCATCTTTATTTTAATATTAGATGCAACCATTATTCTGTAGGGGACAACGGGTCATAACTTGAGGGGAGTTAACACCCATGATTTTTAAAATGCCTTGATCAATAAGAGTCTAAGTTACAGGGAACATTATTTTCATTTTTCAGTGGACCAATAAATGCATTTGACAGGAAAATAGAAAAACTCTACCACAACAGCAATTAGAACAGCTTGCTGCATTATAAGTATCACTTCCCTGTCAAATTAGTGGTTCATGCTTATTTGAATCTGAACATAACAGGCCAATTCTATCACACCTTGCTAGGCTTGAACTTCCATCCAATCAGAGCATTCCAAATGAACATGATTCTTAACAATACTGGAGGGCGCTCTGACCAAGAAATTGCCATTATCTAAATAAAAAAAAGTGATACATATATATATATATATAGAATGTAGAAAGAAATGGGGCAAGTATGAAATGGGCAATTTCTAAAAACGGATTTAGGTCACCATTATATTGCTGACACCTACTACAGGGTGATACAGATATCACAAAAACAAATTACTTTCCCCTTTCGAGGCGTTCCATATCATATTTCTGTGTAAATCTAGTATATAATGTGTCTTTTTTTGGTCGATACAGAGATTGAGTTGTAAATCCGATATCACTATTTTAAAACACTCCGTGGACAAAATTATCTTTCATTTATTGTTCGTGACGTCGCTGACGATGAGCTAACGCACCCCAACTCAATGATCGATGGGTACACACTATTATGTGGTTTCACATAGTATATATACTGTTTGTGTTCATGTAGTACCCGCAACTTTCAAAACCCATATAAAAGTTATATATAATTCTTTGGTTTTCTGAACGAATGTGACGCCATAGCCTGACTCCCATTACATCGATTGCATCATCTGATTACGCTTCCGTTTGCATTTATTTTAAACACTTGGATCCCAAGAAAAGCTTCCTGATGACGTTTTTATCCATAACAATTTTTATTCCTCTTACATTGATTTTCATTCGCCATTGCGCACATTTCGTCTTTTTTACCTTTATAAAATAGCTTGTTATCATATAAATTATACGGAAATTTTTCTTTTATTCCTCGTTTTCTTGACTTTTTAAACAACATCTAAGTTTACTATTTTATAAGAGGTATGTTT